TTTTAGTTTTGTAATACCTATAATTTAGTGTTGCTATCGATTCTGGGATCACTTACCTCTTGTCATTATCTCTGAGGTTGTAGAGCTGGGTTCTGGGCGCTGGGTGTGCTGCCTGGTGGACAGGAGCTCATTTCAGCACCATCTTCCCTGGTGCTGTGCACCGAGGCTGCCCCCGGGATGGGTGAGCTCCTGCCTGCTCCTCCACAGCTCCCGTTTCCTCGCACGCCCTCCCTCCCCGCCGCCCCACCTGTGGTTCAGGAGCCAGGCCCCCAAGGTTTCTGCCTGCACGTGCTCACCTTGCCCTCCTTAGAGCTCCGGGGAATGAAAAACTGAACACCTGTGGGAAAACAGAGCCTGAAATCAGAGTCTCCTGGAGCAGAGAGAAGAGAGGGAACGTCTGCTGAGGGCCCGCAGTGCACTGGCCACTTTTCCCTCCTCGCTTCCTTTGGAGCCTCGTGTTCTCGTTCTTCAGCTGAGTAAACGTGGGTTCATGGAGGCTGAACCCCGCTGATGGGTTTCCAGGACTGTGGACCCAGGACCGCCTGGCCACAGAAGCCAAGGCTCTGCACTGTGTGCTTCCCACACGTTTTAGGAGGAGATTCGCTCCAGGCGGATGTCTCTGCTGAAATAGGACTCAAAGAAATAGAAATGACTGCGAGGATGTGTGTTTCCAGCCAAAGTGTGACAACTTGATTCCAGTGAGGGGGAGGAGAGGACAGATGGAAGAGAAGGGAACCCCAGGCCAAGAGCGGGGTCCCTTCTTGTCCAGCCTTGACCCGGGCCCCCTCCATGCCCACAGTCACCACAGTCAGCAGAGGAGCAGCAGCAAACTCATCTAGCCCATCGATCCTCAGCACACGTGAGAGGCTGTTGTGAGGCAGGTATTTTTAGTATCGACATGTTATGGTGAGGAAACTGAGGCACAGAGAGGTTAACACACTTGCCCAAGATCACAAGTAGTAAGTGGCAGTCCTGGGATTTGAACCCATCTTCTACTTTCAGGATCAGTCGTGGGCATGGCTTCAGGTTCGGAAAGGGGCCCTCTGGCCCCATCAGTGGTTCTCAGAGTGTGGTCCCCGGAACCAACATCAGCATCACTTGGGAGCTGGTTAGAAATGCAGATTCTTGGGCCCTCCCCTTACCCAGTGAGTGCACCAGGAACTGGGGACAGGCCTGGTTTTGTGTGTCTTCACAAAGCCCTCTGGGGGTGCTCACACATTCCATGATCTTCAGCACCTCCCCTCTGCTCCGCATGCCAGCTTTGGCTGAAATCCGTTGAACTACAGAAATCTTCATAATCCACGCGAAGAAGAGTTAAATTTATCAGTAATAATAATAAACATTTACTGAGTTCTTGTATGCCAGGCAGTAGCTAAGCACTTTACCAGCATTATCTCATTCAGTCCTCACAGTGAATGCTACAAAGTATAGGTACTGTGTTAGTCCCATTTTACAGATGAAGAAACTGAGACTTAGAGACCTGAGTCAGCAGCTGGTAAATAGCAAGGCTGTGATTGAATCCAGATTCATCTGATGACACAGTCCATATCCTGAACCATTACTCGTTTTTGTTCTTTTGGTTAAGAGCTACTGAGGAATGAACATCAATCAAAGTGCAAGTATTGAGCTTTATTCAAAAATTGGGAAAGTGTTTTTAAAGGCAGATTTAGTGAATATTTTGAACTCACCCCATACTCTGAAACGAGTGTTTATTCCCAGAGCTGATAAGTACAGAAAACATTAATTCCCCTATGGAAGGAAAAGTAACGGTGGTGCCCTGGCCAGTCTGTTCAGTGGTTAGAGCATCATCCCACACACCAAAGGGTCTCAGGTTAGGTTACAGGTCCAGGTGTGCACAGGTGGCAACCAGTGGATGTGTCTTTCTCACACTGGTGTGTGTGTGTGTGGCCCGTTCCCTTCCACTCTCTCTTAAAGGGAATGGAAAAAAATCTATGGGTAAGGATTCACAAAAAGTGATGGTGGTGATAAACTTTCCTGGCCACACGGGGGCAGCACCAAACAGCACATCCTTTGTGAGGAAGCCAAGCTCCCCCCTAGGGGAGGTCGGTTAGTCCCCATACACCCAGTTTTCTTTCAATCCGGTAGTGAAGCTTTTCAAAGTGGAAACTAAGTTGCAGTAGCAGAATAGCACAAAGAAAATTATTTAAAATAAAATCATTATAATAATAATATATTTAGGGCTCTTGTTTTCTCTTTATCAGCATGACAAAATAATATACTTAATGTATTCTGGTGGGATTAGTTAGCCATTTGAATTTCTTAGCCAAGAAAAATACCCTTGGTTTTTTCAGTGAGCTGGTATAGTTTGAAATCCACATGCTTTTGGACTCAAGGGACAAAAAGCAGCCAGTATGTATGTGTGTGTGTGTGTGTGTGTGTGTGTGTGTGTAAATATATATTTTTTTTTACCTTTTTTATTGTTAATACATTCTTTCGAGTATTCATAGACTGTAGGATTTTGTAGTAGGCAATTAGAGAAAGTGAAAAAATATGTTCCTGGCTTCTAGTTTTAAGGGCATCCCACAATAATGCTGGTTTCTTAGGGCTCAGCACCCCACCCAGGATCACCACGATGCTCTACTCATGACAGCTTCTGTCGATGTTGAGCCCCCCTTCCACTTGGGCGTCGCTCAGCATCCTGTCCGGGTGCACTTCCATACTGGAGCTGAGTGTGCTGGTAGTTTGACTAGAGTGATGAAAATAATTTAAAAGGAGCTGTTTTTCGTAATTGTGCCACATCAACAAACCTGACCTAGAGCCATCCTGGGGACAGTCGGAACGTGTGGTCACCCTGACGGCAGATGTTCTGATCCTGCTGCTTCCCCTTGATGGCTCCAGGTAAGACGTATGTGGCCCTGTGTTCATTGGCTCTTTCAACACATGGTCATTGAGCATTTCAATGTGTGGTTCTCTTGCTGTATTATTGCATTGTTTTCTCCTCGTGAGAACCCTCTATTTTTACAAATGAAAAAAATTGGGACTTTGTAAATTACCTGCCCAGGGTCACAGTACCAGTAAATCTAAGAGCTAAGATTTGAATCCAGGAGATCCCTGTGCTAGAGCCGTGCACTCAAACCGCATTGACAGCGTGCCTTCCTCGTGAGCGAAGCCCACCTGATACTCTCCTGCTGAGAAATCTCAGGCATAAAGCAGAGCGGGAGCCCCAGAGTCAGACTGCATGGGTTTGAATCCTAGGGCCACCACTTAATAGCTTTGTGCTTCACTCACTTTACTCCTCTGTAAAATGGGTACAGCCAACTTAGTGTCAACTTCAGAGGGATGGGGTGAGGATGTAATGAGTTCTTATCCTTAACATTTTAAGGATGTCTTGTGTGTTGGATCAGATGGTACAACTGTACTGTACTTATTTTCTGCTGTTAAGTAGTTTGGGATAACATAAATATTCTCCAAATCAAGAGAATCTCTGTCTTTTTTGAGGCGGGACAGGGACATGGAGCTGGTAGATAACAAGATCGAAGTGGCAGGCTGGGGTAGGTTGTTGCATCACGATTGAAGGACTAGGGGTTGTGTGGGGAACCAGCAAAGGAGGGAGGTCAGTGAGCTGCACAGTGCTCCCTGCAGGAGGCGGGAATGAGCGCTACGGGCTCAGACCAGTGCGTCTTCCTAAAACGAGGAAGATGGGCTGTGACGTGCCCCTGTGACATATCAGGTGTAGCCACCTGGAGACACACAGTTTGTTCTGGGGCTAAGGAAGCAGAGCTGCAGAGGGGCAGGCAGACTGGCTAAGAAACACCTCAGCTGCTGACCAGAGGCCGGCCCTCCCATGGTCACAGGCCAGCCCTGTGCCTCTGGGCATCCTCTTTCCCTTTGAGCATTTTGCTGTAGTGGACACACACCTGCAGATGGACTGCAAGGGCATGTTCCAGAACCTCTCTCCCAGACACAGGATCCTCATGTTTAAATAGATTGTTGTTGGTGCGTGTGTGTGTGTGTGTGTGTGTGTGTGTATGTTTTACTGAATAACTGATTAACAGTTTGGGAAGGAGTCTGGGCCTGGAGGCTGAGATGGGGAAGATTGAACTAGATGAATGTGGTCCCTTTGGGACAGTTTGCTGCAGTTCCTCATTTTATGACGTTCACTTTGGGAAACTTTACAAGATGCCCTTGCTGTCCCAGTAAGGTGGTCTCTTCAACTGCTGTGCAGCTTGGGACCCCAGCCCTCCAAGGGGGTAAGGAACTCGGCTACAGGGTCAGGTGAGGGACCCCAGTTCTGGCCACCTAGCAACTCTGGCAGTGATCAGCAAAGCAGGGGCTGCATCCTCTCGTGGCCCAGGGATTTCTTTCCTTATATATCTTTGGTTTTTTTACTGGTTGCAGTATGCATATAATGCTTTTTATATATTTTTTTAATTGAATAACTGAACTTTAAAAAGACAAGGAGCGTCATCTCAAAATATCTCTAATGACCAAAGAATAAATGGAACGTGTGCTTTAAGGAGTCTCACAGGTCCGTGTACTCTGCAGGCTTCTCAGGACTTGGTGCTAATGACATGGTGTGGGAGCTGAGACCTGTTATTGTGCAAGCACTTCCCATTTTCCTTCATGTCTGGGGATTAGACAGTACATTTGCCTCATTGTTAATAAAGTGCCTAACATGGATGTAATTCCTTCCTTCTCCTATTGCCTTTTTCTCGGTGTAACAACTAAGCTCATGGGGGTTGCATGTCTTACTATTTTTAAAACCTGCCCAATAAAGGAGCTTAGAAATGTGTATGCCCATTAGCCCTATAATTCCACCTCTAGTTGTCTATTCTAAGAAAAAGATCTGAGCACACACAGAAAGTCAGGCAAGAAGATATTTATCACTCACATTTTCTAAGGGCAAAACAAGTCGCAGTTTAATTTTCCAGCGAGGGGATGAGATGGTTGGACACGATGTAGCAGAGGCGTTTAGGGTGTGTTGACGAAGAGTGACTGTGGCCACTGAGGAAGCTCACACTCCTGACTTTGTCCCCTAGTGTTTTGCCGTGCGCTCTCTGGGCTGGGTGGAGATGGCGGAGGAGGACCTCGCCCCTGGGAAGAGCAGTGTTGCTGTCAACAATTGCATCAGGCAGCTTTCGTACTGCAAAAATGACATCCGGGACACAGTCGGCATCTGGGGAGAGGTAAGTAACACGTGGAAACCACGCGTGGCAGACTCGGTTCCGTTCCGCTGTGCTTCGGGGAAGCCCAGAGCTCCGTGGACGTGGTACTGAGGGGCACGGCAGGTGTTTGTCAGGTGTAGGCAGGACGCAGCCCGTGATCTACCCGTTAGCACTGTCGGGTCCCAGTGAGGAGGGGCCCTTGGAGAACGCTCCTCAGCGTCCAAGTGACAGGACCTAGCCGGAACTCCTGAGTCCCCAAGAATCCACTGTGGACTTTAGGGCCGAGAAAAACCCTTAAATCTGCTTGCCAAGTCGGGTGTGCCGGAAAATAAGGAGAAGACCCACGGCCCTCTCAGAGGGGAACGTGACCCACTCGTACACACCAAATTGTCGACGCGGATGCTCCAAAGGTCGAAAACAGTATCCTTTGTAACACATTCTTTTTTACTTACAATCTGAAAATCAACATTACATAAGTTTTGAAATGGATACCTATATATTCTTTCTCACTTTGAACAAAGTAATTCTACTTTGAAATGATAGTGGATAATTTCAGAGAGGAAAATAGTAAGTGTAAATGTGAAACATTTATAAAATCGTATGAAACCGGAAGAGCCAGTTCCTGCCATGCTCTGGGACCTGCCGAGCAAACGCATCGGAGTGCCGTGGGCCGTGTCTGCTGCCCTGGGTCCCTCCCCAGGGAACAGAGCCTCTGTGGCCTTTGGGAGAACCCGCTGTGATTTTTTAAGCTGAACCAGCCCGAAGAAAGTGCATCACCGAGCTCGGTGACGGGGCACTTGGCCTCACTGTGGGTCTCATCCTAAAAGGCGTGTTGAGCATACCAGGGTGTGCCAGGCACAGCAAGCCCTCCGAGTCCGACAGCACCTGCAGAGTGGTTGCCCTGGAGCCGCTGCACGGGAGGAGCTTTCTGGGGGCCATTCCCTCGTGGGCCTGGCTGAAGATCTCCTTTAGGCAGCAGTCAGTGCTTCATTCCTGGTGGGGAGCGACAGGGGAGGTACCAGAAATCCCTAGCAGCTCCCCGTTACCTCAGAGCACATCACCTGGTTGGCCCAGGGCACCTGGGCCCGCTCTGCTCCCCGGCTCCCAGCGCTCAGCTGAGGTCTGGAGGAAGGGAGCCCAGCCTTTGGCTGGAGGGTAGGGGGGCAGCAGGTCGGTTCCTCTTCTTGGCTCTGCGAACCGTTGCTCAGCTACTGACCAGTTACCCAACGTCTGTGAGGTGCTGGGCAGCAGACTCTCCAGGACCTGCACCCCAATTGTGGTCAATCTGCAAACTAGTTCATTAAGGATTGGCTCTTTGCCCAAGGCCTGGACAGAGCCGTGACCTTGAAGTGGCCACAGACAGAGGCCCTGCCCCTCGGCAAGCGGCATGAGCTGCAGCTCCCCAGCACACATCTGGGGGTGCGCAGATCCGAGGCGGCGGGCAGCCTGCTGCTCGGGTTCCGCAGTCTGCACGGCTGAGTTTCTCCCAGGGCTCTCTGGAAACGGCTCCCCTGCCCTTTGGGAAGATTGCAGGTCATCCTGGGTTTCAGATGTAGACGCTCAGCCTAAGCATTGGCCAACAGAGGCCCTGAAAACCCATGTCTGCACCTGAGCAATGGAGCTTGTGTTCACTCTCAGAGCCTTGGATGGGAGCCAGACCGTCATCCTCGAAAACCAGGCCCGGCAACATCTGTCCTGCTCTGGGATTCGAAGAGCCGCCAGGAAGCCTCACTGTGCTCCCAGGAGACCTCCCTGGCTTCTGGGTCCCAGCATCAGGCTGACCATGGCCTTCAGGAGACTCGGTCTTTCACTTGTACAGTGAAGTTGAATAGTTTTTTAAAATCATGCTTCAGGAATTTCAAGGGGAACAAAGTTGAATGGTCTAGCATTCCTGCCCTCAAAGAGCCAACACATGGGGGGAGACAGGAGACCAAAACCTCAGCAGTGATGTAAGAGAGAAGAAACCTCAGCCCCCCCCTACAGCGTCAACACAACACCCGGGGAGCTAAAGGCGTCACAGGTGCTGTGTCTGACCTTCAACAAGTCACTCAACCTTGAGGCCTTGGTTTCCCTACCTGCTGATTGGAAATAATGACAAACCAAACTCTTGGGGGCCAGTTGGAGAGTGCACGGGCCAAGGTACCTTAAGCATGTGACATAATGTCTGAGGTGTGGTAAAGCCGCACACATGTTAACTGCGGTTGTACCGAGAAATGTCACAGCTGGTCCTGCTGTTGGCCAGCCGAGTCACACAGATGTGAAGTGGTTAAGAGAAGAGACAGACATCATGGCAGGTGCCTGCGGGGTCTGGCCCGAGGGGAGGGAGCGGGAGACGGGGGTATGGATGCTGGGCGCGGAGTTAATGAAGGACCAGACTCCAGGAAACCCACCACTAGCCTTTTTCTTAAAGATTCAGAAGTGTGAATAATGAAAAGGAAGAGGCGGCCAGAAAGCAGGCTAGGGACACTTTTCAGAGGACTTGGAGAGGGAGAGAGAGGTTGGGGTGTGAGGGAAGTATGAAAGATCTGTGACTATTGTAGTCAGGAGAGGATGCTTCTCCCTTAGGAAAACAAATTGTAGACCCAAGGGTGGCTTCCTCCGGCCGGCCGTTGAAACCACATCCCTGGACGCCACTGTTGCTGAGGGCGTGTGGGTGCTTGTGAGGAAGGTAACGTTTTCTCCTTGGCTGCAGGGCAAGGACATGTACCTGATCCTGGAGAACGACACGCTCAGCCTGGTGGACCCCATGGACCGCTCCGTGCTGCACTCCCAGCCCATCGTGAGCATCCGCGTGTGGGGCGTGGGCCGCGACAACGGCCGGTGAGTGCCGGCACCTCTCCGGGGTGTGGTCTCCCCATCCTGCCCTTGGCTGAATGTGCAGTGACGGCAGCCGTTCTTCAGAAATGTGAACAATTACAGCTGTGTCTGTTTTCCCGCCTCGTGAACCCTCCACGCTACTTCCCTTCCTGGTCTCTGTCCCTCCGACCTTCGGTCACCTCTGCGTCTCTCTCTCCCGCTCAGCCTCGGTCATCTCAGTTCCCAGCTCACGTGCACCCTTCTCTGCAGTCTGTGTCCGTCTCCCATCTCTTTCGGTGGAGTCCGGGCCATTTCCCGCAGCCCCTGGTATTTCCTGTGCTGAGGGCTGGCGTGGAGGCAGCGGCTCCACAGCCTGAGTCGCAGGCTTCAGATCTCGGAGTCACGATCACCAGGAACTCCGGGGCTTCGCCTTGGCCGACCTTTTCCAGCACTTGAAACATCTGGTCATACCAACATCCCATTCCATGTGTATTTTTCCAGAAACTGTTGAAAACCGGTTGTTTACAGAGGTGCTTCTTACTGAGATGTGTTGTGACTTTTCATTCCCCAGGATGACGGGAAGCAAGGAAGTCTGTTTTTCACATACATATTCTAACTAAAAAGTGGCAGTCGTCACAGACGTCGTCTGGGATGCCACTGTTACGTAATTGGGTGACTTTCGGTGCACTTCACTCGTGAAGCCCAGTCGACCCTTGAACAAGTCGGGTCTGAACTGCTTGGATTCACGTTAGACCCGAGAGGTTCAAACCCATGTTGTTCAAAGGTCAGTTATATCCTCTGTCTGCAGCTGGGAGTTAGAGTATATGAGTGCGGACTTAAGTTACATGTGGGTGTTGGACTGCTCCGGTGGTTGGTGCCCCTAACCCTCGCTCTGTTCAAGGATCAACTGTATCCTTAATCTTCGGCAACTCTCAGTGTCCGCGGATCTCCTAGCGTTCGGTGATGAGCTATGGGATGATTAATTATTGCACTGTTGAAAATGGACAAGAACATTGCAAACGCAGGTGGAAATCCCGGACAGCGGGGAGGTGGCTCTCTTGGTTCCATTCCTGAGCATTCTGGTTTATTGGAGCATGTGGTCCTCTCTGGAGGGCTCTGCCTTGGATTATCCCTGCCTTGGTGGGCGTTAGTGGTTTTGATAGTCTTTTGATCCCGTTGCAAGTTCGAAGCCAGAAAGGAAAATGTTTAAGTATTTGTCAGTCAAAGAACAAACATTTTTGCCGGAACCAGATGCGATAAGTGGTCTTAAGAGCAGGGTGGATGTCTTCGGACTGCTGCTGGGTGAACCTTTCTGGGAGCACAGTTGTGTCTGAGCTTTTGTAACGGAGTGGTGAATGGGGACAGCTGGGCCAGGTGCTCTGGGGGGATGAGTGGCTAGATGAAGCGTACATGCCTGTCATTTACTGGCTTGGCAAAACCGTAGCACTGAAGTTGATGCATTGACACGAGTTGGTTAACTTTACAAGGAAAATACCTGATAATGTTTGCTCATCATTACAAATGTTTAGCCTTGACGGAAGAGTGTAGGCTGCTTGATCCTTCCCTGGCTCCTGTTCTTTAAGGCAGGAGCCAAGGTGAAGATCAGCATATACTTACGCAAGTAGGTGGGGTTGTGTTTTCTTGAGGTTCCGTTGTGAGCAGATTTCACTGATGAGGTTTTCAGCCCATCCCAACTCTTTCAAGCGAGGCCAAATGCTACATGTTCAGGGAGAGAGAGGAAAAAAAAAAAAAGATTCAAACTCCAGTTGACTGAATTATTCAAGCTCTGAGGCTCAGTTCCTGTCAGCTGTGAAATGCAGATCATCATAAGGACCACAAAGCATGCACACATGTGCCCATGTGTATCTGCAGTAATTGGCACAGTGATGGGGACATGGCAAGTGCTTACTGGATATTAGCACTTGATTTGTTGAAGCTATTGGCCTCACACTAGCAGATACAGCTGACTGCGTGGCTTCCCTTCAAAGACTGGGAGGGGCCAGACCTCAGGGAGGTTGCAAGAACAGCTCGGCATTGGCTGCAGAGGATGAGAGGCTGTTCCGCACACGCTGAGTTCAGTTGTCCTGCAGAGCCTCCCATCCTCTGCTCCCAGTGAAGTCGGTGAACACTAGGTTACATTGCCGTGCTTATGGTTTCGAGAGGTGGGCTGGGTTTCCCATGTTTTCAAACCGTGTCTTATTCTTGCTCAGTGTTAGCAGAGAAGTGTAACAGACATTCACTCAGCGCTTCCTGTGGGCTCTCAGGACCTCCACAAGCTCCTGGTGGTTAGGGGCCCTGGGCCGGATTGCGGTAAATAAAAAGTATGTTTGCCAATGGAAGGTTCTGTTTCTCCCCATTGGTCCCCTGGGTTTTCATCCCCTAGGAGAGGGGCCTTTGTATCCCTGCCTTCTTTTAAACTTGCTTTTGCTTTTGATTCTTTTCTTTTTTTTTAACAGCAATTTACAAGAGCAAATTCATTTTGTAATGATGCAGAAGGAGGGGGTTTGGGCTGTGCATGAATAAAACATAAAAGTGTTTCATTTCGCTTGTGAAAACGAGCCTGTTTCTCATTCTCTTTTGTAACTTTCCTTGCTGAGAACATGGAATCTCTTAGGGGATTTCTTGATGTGCTTAAAATGAAGAAGAAATGGATGTGTACCAGAGGCTTGAAGGCCACAAAATCTTTCTGGAAGTTCAGAGTACTTCACTAAGCCATGTAATGTCAGAATTTATAAAGTTCTTTTGGGTTTAGCATTTTCTTAAGGCTTTCGAGTGGCTTTGATTTGCTCTGAAAAAATTCCTTGTGGAGTAAGTTTACCTTAAATGAGGAGGTGATCCAGCTGTGATGCCCCGATCCCCAAGGTTGATTTGAGAAACTTCTTATGAAGGAGTTGCAGTCACATCCGATGTTGGTTCTGTGCATGTTGGTTGTTGCTCGATGGGGCTGAAGGTTTTGTCGTATTCCTGGGTCACGCCTACCTTTGGCCTCTCTTGGAGCACGTTTGCAGAGTTGCTGGGAAGAGGGAAGGCTGCCCCTGCTCCCTGGGCCACTCTGCACGTGGGTTCCTTTGGGGGCAGCGAGATGCATGCGAATGCTCCCAGGCACGGAGAGTGCCGAAGGGGGTTTCCTGAGCTGTCTTTGCTATCAAAGGCAGCATTGGGGCACACTCTCTTTTTACTCACTGGGGTTCTGGGGAGAGCTCCCTCTCTGTTCTTTCATAGAGAAATCAGAAGCAAGCAACATAATTTCTGAACATAGGGGACTTTAATGGGGACTCCTCTCCCCTCTTGTGGCAGATATGGGTCCATCTTCTGGGCACACAGATCCTGGGGTATGTTGCCAACAGTAGAGTGTGGGATCCAGTCTGCTTCTCTTGAGAAAGGAAAATGGGTGGGCGGTATGGTCAGAGTATTTCAGACCCCAGAAGTGGGTTCTCCCCGGAGATTTCCATATCAGCAATGGAGCATGAATGAAGTACCATGTTCACCGGGTTTCCTGGAGGAAAAGGAAGGCTCTCCGGTCAGTTGGGAAACGGAGACCTTCTTCTAGGTGTTTCTGTGCTGATGTGCCCCGGACCCTTAGAGACGCGTTTCCAGGCGCGATGGGACCCTTTCTTCTGGAAGCGCGGTTGCCTGGAACGCTGGGAAAGGCTGCCCCGGCCAGCCAGCTCATCCATTTAGATTAGTGCAGCAATAGATTGCCGTTTCTGCTTATAAGAAAAAATTGGAATTACTGTTAATAAACAACCGTTATAAGTTGGAGACCCCACTGGGCCGGCTCCGACGAAGATCCAGTTCCTTCAGAGTGAGCCGCGGCGGCCACAGCGTCGTGCCCGGTGCTTCCCACACGTTCTCCTGCGGGCTCAGCGCTCTGGCGCGTCCTCTGTGCTTACAGTTTGTACAGCAAAACCTCTCCCTAGAAAGTGTCTTGTACATTTTCTCTGTTTTCTTTTTGTTTGTTTTTTAAATCCTCACCTGAGGATATTTTTCCATTTATGTTCAGATAGAATGGGAGCCAGGGAGAGAGAGAGAGAGAGAGGGAGGGAGGGAGGGAGGGAGGGAGAGAGAGAAACATCAATGTGAGAGGAACACATAGACTGGTTGCCTCCCTCATGAACCAGCCAGGTCTGGGGACTGAACTGCAACCGAGGTACGTGCCTTTGACCAGAATTGAACCTGCAATTCTGTGGTCCATGGGCCGGCGCTGTAACCACTGAGCCAAACTGTGCAGGGCTCTTCTTTTTCCTTTTCCTCACACGAGGACATTTTTGCATTTATCTTCAGCTAGAGCGGGAGAGAGGGAGGAAGAGAGAGAGAAACATCCATGTGAGAGAGACACATGGGGTGGCTGCCACCCACACAACTGCAACCAGGGCTGGGGACAAACGGCAACCGAGGTACATGCCCTTAGCGGGAACTGAACCCGGGTCTCTCTGGACCGCAGGCCGACACTCTAACTGCTGAGCCAAACCGGCGAGGGCATTTTTTTGATGAATAATTTTTAATAAAATTTTACGATGTCATAGATTATTTATAATTTTTTAAATGAGTTATTTCTGGTTAATTGTTTTATCGGGTTAGGCTCTCAGGGGATTTGTACCTGAAGAATATAGTGTCAGGGGTGCGGAATATTCTTTCCCCCTCTCCTCCCCTAGGGTGTTCCCCGCAGGCTTCTCTCCACAAGCCCCTGGCTCAGTCATTTTGGAAGCCGTTGCCACACAGTTCGTGCTCTTATTTTCCTGCCAGTATTGTTTGTTGTTTCATTTTAGTTTCTTTTGAAAAGATTGCTTTCTTTGGGGGTGGGTTTTGCATGGAGGGTCCCTGAGTGACACTGGGGTAGATTAGTTAAAATGTGCAAAACTTTCTCATAGGGTTTGAAATGTAAAAGTTGGTTTAGTCACCAAAGGCTTTCTACCTCCTTATTGTACAGACTATGTAGCTGAGGACAGAAGATGTGCTTTGCCTGTCCAGTAGTGCCAGGGCATGGACAGACACCTGGGATGTCCCTCTGTCTGAAGAGGACA